ATTAATAGGTGTCTCTTTCTTGCATTTTACCCCCTCTTTTTGCCCCCTTCTTTCTGATCGAGGATTGAGTTGAGTATTTGTCCAATTAAATGCATCTGATTAAAAACTGTCAAACTGAAAAGGAAGTGAGCTGAAAAAAAAATGCAGCAGGAGTTGTGAATATCGAGTTACCGATTTTTTGCTTGAAACTGAATTAAAAATAAATGTGTTAGGTAGTGGAATTTTGTTTTGTTTTCCCCAAAGGAGAAATATTCACCACATGGAAACAAAATTTATTCAGCATATTTTCATTCCGTAATTGTACCATTTCTATTCTTAATTCTTTGAGTTTTTGATTTAAAGTGAAAAACACCCAAACAGACTGTTGTGTAAAATTGACAGGAATGAGTGTGAACCTGGCTGTCAGAGACATAGGTTGTTGTAAAATTAGCAATGGAAATAGCTTCCTATTCTGGAGGTTAAAAATAATGTATTTAGAAGGAAGTTATTTACATTGGCCGTTTGGAGGCTTCCCCCGGAGCCTTAGTAGGGAAAGCTGTGAACTGCACAGTCGGTGTGCGCAGGAAGTGTTTCCGGGACCGCCAGCGGCATGTGGGGTGCTCAGCTGTGAGGGGCCATGATGCCGAGCCCGTGACAGACAGGAAAATGGAGCAGTCTCGCTGCCCAGAGGCTTTTCGAAGGGTGAAAGGGAGTCAAAAGCCAAGCCCAGCTTGTTCCAAAAGTTTGTGGTGTCCCACAAAGTGCAGGGATGCTTTGTTTCGAGCTTCTCCAGTGAGACCATCTTTCCTCTAGAAGGTACTAGAAGTTCCTGCCCACCCCACCGAAGGGGAGCTCCCTGCAGCTGGACCAGTGCAGCCTTCAAGGACATCTCCTGCTGGAAATCGGATGTGAAATACAGAGCAGCCCAGCAGGGGGAAGAGAATTCGTATTTGTGGGAGAAAAGCCTCGTTGCTGCTGTTTTGTGAACTGAGAGTGTGTGTGTTTGAGCCTCTTAGGATGGTTCTGCAACCTGTGCAGGTCTCTGCTTCTCTTGCATTCATTTCTCGGAAAGCCTCCCCCACTTTTTGCTTGACTTCAGGTGATGCCAAAATAATTTCAAAAATGTTTCTCTTCGGGTTTCTGGTCTGGCTCCTCCTAGGCCGTGCATTAACATTATTTGGTCATTTATTACTTGAATAACCTCAATTTTAGTAGCAGCGTCTTCAGAAAGGCGATTAATAGAGTATTATCAGTTTTAAATGGACCGGAGTTTCCTTGCAGCCCAGAAGAGAGTGTATCTCGGCCGTGTCCGCAAAGAACCGAGGATTCGACGGTTGAAAAATATCCAGGTATTTTAGAGGACGGAAACTGGTCTGTTTAAAGAAATGCTTTGTTTGCTTGTTTGGAGCTTCTGTTTTGAAAGAATTGGGAACGTTGCCAGAAATTTAGGTACCAGCTGTTTGTATCCTCCAAGAGGTTGGGATCTCCTTATCACTGTTTGATAGGATTAGAGCCTGAATGGCCGACTCCAGCTTTTGATGCGCTCACCACCTCAGAACGTTTGGAAGGGGAACGTTCTTTCTCATGGAGGCTGTGGCGGGGTTAGGAAATTAAGCTTTGTCTTTGGGGCTTTGCCCTGTAGATGTGCTGAATCCCTGAGGCATTTGAATCAATTTTTGACCAGGGCAACAAAGAGGCTGCGGGGAGGGCATGGAGAGATTAGAGTATGGGAATAATGGATACTTACCTCTTAATGGTGTATCTCAAGATAAGGACTGAATACTGTCCTTATCTATGGGAATTCTCTTGGTCCCCTCTGTTTCAAGAGAATGGAAGGATGGATGACCGGGGTGGGAGGGCAGCTGCTCCAAGTTCACTAGAAGTTGCCATTCAGGGGCATCTGGCGGATGGCTCAGTGGGGCTGTGCAGAGAAGCGCTGGCCAGGTGTTGTGAGATTTGGGTTCTTGGTTCTGGTATTCGCAGTAGGTAGCCACGTGTCTTTGTTCCCAGCAGGTAGCCCCTCAGAGTATTTAACAGTCTCAGTAAAATGACAAGCCTTGGCCAAGTGGTTATGATTTTTTGTGGTTCTAAAAACCCTGGCTTTATGTACCTTGTTCTCCGGCACTTATCACATTGGTTCTAGACCAGTCTTGACTATCTAGAGCTACTCTCGTGTGACAAAACTATAACCCAGAACTATTTACTTTTGAATCATTTATTTTCCGATGTTCTTTTAGCGAGTGTCAATAAAGATCAGAGAAAGAGATTCTTGGAAGAGATAGTTACCAGTTCTTAGTGTAGTGATTTTTAAATCCTTTACTTTTCTTACTATTTACAGGACAGTTCCCATGTGATTTTTCTGAAGGATGGGATATTTAAACTGAAATCAGGAAAGGTGGTTTGCCAAAGGAACTTGAAATTAGCCCTATTGTTGAAATTGATGTTGACTGCTTGGTGTTTGGTAAAAAGCATCTCTTTGGGAAGCCACTGAGAGACGAGTAGTTCAGGGTCCTGCCGGTTTGAGCAAAGATGAAAAATGTTGAAATCGAGTGGGAAGAAGGAAATGTGGCAAATCACAAGGAACCAGACTGTTTTTAACAGAGAAAATTCAATTTTATCTGCCTTTTTCCAGCAAATTCCATTTGATATTTTACATTTTCTTGATAATTTAATAAAGAATCTCAGGAAGGAGTTGCAGAACTTTAGCTTAGGGAAAGAGAATTTGTCATTTGTGACATTTCTTCTCTAAATAGCATGGGAAGATCAATGTATTAGCTTGTAGCTCATGCATTACTAGTTCTAGCTACTTCTGTTCAGAAAAGAAACAGCATGTTATAGAGCAAAACTTGGCACAATGGGGAGTTTGGGCTCAGTCCCTGAACGTTCACTGAACTCTCCTGGGTCCAGGCATTGTGCTAGCCACAGTGAGGGATGTGTGGGTGATACATCTCCTATCTGCCTCCAAGGAACACCACCACTTACCTTTTAGAAGATGCCCTGATAATAGACAGGTAATTTAGAATGATACAGAATCAATAGAAACAAAACACGGGAATGTGGGCTCTGCATTCAGAAGATGCACAGAGTCTGGCTGCTTCTCACCGCTGGCAGTCACCTTGAGCTGAACTTCACACTGTCCTCCTTCCCCTGGGTTCCAGCCTCGTAGCTGGTCTTCCTGCTTCTACCCTTGTGTCTACAGCCTCTTTTCCACACAGCAGCCAGAAGAGGCCTTTGAAAATGCAAGTCACATCATATCAAAGCCCTCTGTAGTTCCCAGTTTCACCAGATGCAAAAGACCTTTCAGCAGTTTACAGCGTTGCACAGGTCTGCTTGGCCTTGCTGCCTTTCCACACACTCCCATCCACCCTCACTCTCCCCCATCCCTCTTTCTTTCTCATGGTATTTCTCTGACTTCCTCTCCTACTGCTCTGACCCTTACGTTCCACCCAGCCTACACTGGCCCCCTTACTGTGTCACGAACACACCCGGCGTTTCCCCACATCAGGGACTTTACAGAGACTCCCTGTGCCTGGAACGTTCTCCCAGACGTAGAACAGCTGCCCAAACAATTGCTCACTTCTTCCATCTTTGCTCGGATGTCCCCACCTCCATGAAGCTCCATTCTGAGCACCTCATTTGAGATCGAAACTCACCTCTGCCTCATTACTCCCAAACCTCCTTGTCCTGCTATGTATCTTTCTCCATAGCACTCATCACGCTCTGGCTTACTCTATGACTCTATGACTAGTTTTTAAGTTTTGTGTGACATCTATCTTCTTCCACTGGGATGTGAGCTTCAGGAAGGCTGGATCTTTGTTTTGTTCAATGTGGTCCAATCTAGAATGATCTAGAACAAGGCCTGGCATGCTGTAGGTACTTCACAATTATTTGTTGAACAAGTGAATGGATGAGAAGGAGAGATTCATTTTGAGAGTTCATAAAGCATCACAAGGAAGAAACTTTTGAGGTAGGAAGTTGAAGGATAAATAGACAGGTTTTCTGGGGGAAAAGAAAGACATGCCTGATAGGAGGACTATCTTGAGCAAAGGTAGAAAAATGACAGACCTCCCCGGGCTCTTGGCATGAAGGAAGTCCCGACTGAGCAGGGCTTGAGGGGCAGTCAGAGTGGTGGTCGCGGTGGGTAGATCGTTAAAGGGGACTCTTAGTAGAGTAAGGGAACAAATTCCTAATCATTGCCTGTGTCAGGATGGCAGGCATGTTGGTAATTGCAAGCCAGGGCTCTCAAAGAAGTGACGTGCATAACATGGGCAACGTCGTCACTTTAAGGAATCAGTAATGTGAATGGTGTTTGCTAACGAGGTCTGATTTTTGTAGAGAACTTGAGGATCTGCAGATCCTCAGTCACATGCTTTATGGTTTAAACTTCCTAACAACTGGGTGAAGTTGCAATATATACCAGCAGGTATTATTTACATTTTTGGGTGAACTTTTCAAAAAAAAAAAACAAAAATCAGTTGCGTCTTCTGTCAAACCAGCTAAGCGACCTGCCTGAGGTCTTGGAATCAGAAAGCGGGGAAGCGAGCTTCCCACTGTCTTGTACCTCACAGACAACATTTTCCCACCCTGCCAGGCTGCCTCTCTAATTATGTTGGGACACTAAAGGGATCATGCTGGTGTTTTTTACAAGGGAGCAAGCTTCTCTCCGGTTCTCCCACCACTGAGAATAGCAGCCTCTCCATGCAGTTCCTTTTTTACCAGATGCATTTTTCTCCCCATCCCCCCCTCCATTTCAGCTTGTCTGCTGTAATTATAGAAAGATGAATATGTTTCGTAGGTGGGTGTGTTTTTACCTTTGCCTGTTTAGTATTTTACCTTCTTTCAGGCGAATGCCAAGACTGTCTGACTCAGCACCTGACATTCTAGTAAGGTTGTTGCTGTCTTTCTTGTGGTTCTTGCTGGGGGGGAGGGGAAGAGGAGGCATGTCAGCAACTCCATCTGAATGTCTTCAGACTTGCTCGGTGCTCACTGGGGAGTAAACCTGATCTTCTTAATTCCCCCAGATGTTAGTAGGCTGGAAGAGGCGGAGGGAGAGCTCAGTGAAGGAGAGCACTGGTATGGAAACTCTTCAGAGACTCCGTCAGAAGCATCCTATGGAGAAGTCCAGGAGAACTATAAGTTGTCCCTGGAGGACCGGATCCGGGAGCAGTCCACTTCCCCCGACACCTCCTTGGGCAGCGCGACCCCCAGCAGTCACACGTTGGAGCTGGTGGGACTTGACGGTGAGGTCCTGCGAGACTCACTGCAGTGTCAAGACCACCTCTCCCCTGGCGTGTCTTCTTTTTGTGAAGATGACCCCCCAGGCTCCACGAAGCCCTTGAGCAGCAACCTGAGGCGGCTGCTGGAGGCCGGCTCCCTCAAACTCGATGCCACAGCCACGGCCAATGGCAGGGTGGAGTCCCCGGTAAACGTGGGCTCGAATCTCTCCTTTTCCCCACCGTCCCACCATGCCCAACAGCTCAGTGTTCTTGCCAGGAAGTTGGCTGAGAAGCAGGAACAGAATGACCAATACACTCCAAGTAACCGTTTTATATGGAATCAAGGTAAGTGGTTGTCCAACTCAACCACCACCTGCGGCTTGTCCCCGGATTCAGCCATCCTAAAACTGAAAGCTGCAGCCAATGCCGTTCTGCAGGACAAATCTCTCACCAGGACTGAGGAGACCATGCGATTCGAGTCCTTTTCCTCCCCTTTTAGCTCCCAGTCTGCCAGCTCCACCTTGGCAGCCTTATCCAAGAAAGTCAGTGAGAGAAGCTTGACTCCTGGTCAGGAGCACCCACCTCCCGCCAGCTCCTTCCTTTCCCTGGCTTCCATGACCTCCTCGGCCGCCCTTCTGAAAGAGGTGGCCGCAAGGGCTGCGGGGAGTCTTCTGGCTGAGAAATCGTCACTGGTGCCTGAGGACCCTCTACCGCCACCGCCTTCCGAGAAGAAGCAAGAAAAAGTCACCCCACCCCCTCCGCCACCGCCCCCACCGCCTCCGCCACCACCACCACAGTCCTTGGAGTTATTGTTACTCCCCGTTCCTAAGGGAAGAGTTTCTAAACCCTCCAATTCAGGTATGGAATCTTTTATTTCAACCATCGTGTAAGTTGTGTTTTTTTTTTTTCTTTTTTTACTGTAAATTGCCATGTCTTCTTCACTGCTTTATTTGGTTGGGCTTCCCGTCTTATCTGAGGCAGGAATAAAAAAGCAGGAGCACAAGAAAATACTTTAAGTAAGCAGTGTAGTGGGCTTTCATGTATGTATTATACAAAGACTTCACAAATAGCTTCATTTTTGAAAGGTAATGAATAATCTTAGAGATGTGCAGTACTCCTCCCTTTCATATAAATGATCTTTTTTTTTTCTTACCAAGTGCAGGCTAGGTCCATACGAGACATATTTAATGGGAGAAGATCAAAGCATCTTTGTCATGGAGTGCATGGCATCACTGAACATAGGGGGAGAAAAAAAACCCGCTGCTTTTGAAACAGTGGACAAGGGAGAGCCCACCCTCCTGCTGCCTCCCATCACAAATGGACTTTTGTATACAGTAACTACTCTGCCCTAATTTATCACACTATACACTTTTATGTTAGCATTTTTATTATTTATTTGTGCAGAATTTAAGCCTTTCCCACTTATCCTGTTCTTCTGTAATTTCTTGTCATATAAGAACTGTAAAGAATATTGTCATTCAGACATAATCAAAGCATTTCCTGCAAATGCTTTTTTTTTTTAAGATTCAAATCCAATCAGATTCTGAAGGAATGTGCATGTGGAAAATTTGAATCATAAGTTTTTTTGTGTGTGTGAGGGCAGTCTTTCCAAAGGAGAAGTCGCTTGTCTTGTGGAGCCTTGACATTCACAAGTTGTTCATCTGAGGGAAGGATTTAGTCACTTGAGTTCTCATGGTAGAAGCATCACTTCTTGTACTGGTTTGTTTTTGAATTGTGTGTATGATAAATTCACGGTACCGGGATGGATGTATGGAGCTTCAGATGTCTCCCAAGGATATCCTGTCAGACTGGAACAGGAAGTAGGCTATGTGTGTCCTCGTCAGTATAAACACTGCCGTTGTGTGTGTCTAGCCAACTTTTGATTATTTGCAGCCACATTGATGAAGAGTGCTTAGAATGGCAAATAATTGAACGATCGCAGCTAGCATCAATTTGACGCACTTACGACAAATTTCCATTCAAATTGCTGAGTGGGCTCTATGTGGTAATTCTAATTATTTTCAAACTTGTGTAAATGGCAGAATAGAACTAGGAAAATTGATATCTAGAACTTTTATGACTCTGAATGATCCAAACCATTCACTCCAGAGTTTCTGAAGTGTCCATAAAATCCTAAAATGTTTATCAATTCTGAGTTTCATGTCTCCTCACTTCTTACCTGCCATCTGGTGAGATAAAGAGAGGAATGGCTAAAATTAGGAAACCAGGAGAAGAGCAAAGGAAGCTGGGTAATTTTGCAATGGAATAAATCACTCCTCATTTAGAGAAATTTCATTTAAGCGTAGCAGCAGAAAGAGAGGTATGGCTATATGTAACATGAAATTTTATAAATATTCTTCATACGTGATTGTTGAATGAATGTGTTTATGATGTTTACGCTATAAATTCATGTGGACATAAGTTACTTGGAAAAGGTTATACAAAATTAATAATCAGGGTTAGTTGACTGAAGACTCAGAAAGAGGTAACTGATAAAACTGTGGCTCCTGATGTAAATTGTAGCAGCTTTATCACTGTGAAGTGTCTCGGGTATAATGAGCAGTAGAGGTGAAGTATAATTTTTTTTTCTACTCAAGTGCTTAGATGCGTGTAAAGATGTAAAAGAGGTCATGAACTTCCAGTGCACAGGAGACTTTTTGCCTGTTTTATTGTAGGATATACACCCAAGGGAAAAGATATCTTCCCTTTATGGTTTAAATGCACTTAATTCACACCAACATCTCAAAGAGCTTCCAAGCAGAATTTTACATGGACCTACCAACAATCATTTTTTTCTTTTCCTTTTGTTAAATTTCTTCTACTGCCGAAACCCTTACTATTTTTCACAAATTGAAAGATGGGGGGAAAGGAACTCCCTTGATTGTGTCTCTACAACCCCCTGCTGACTGACTGGTACCCAGAGGCCCCTGTTCTCTACGTGCCCCTCGGCACCATCCGAGCGCTGCTGAAGCAGCCCCACTGACGAGTCACTCATTTTGTAAAGCTCACACACGCGGGAACAGCGCTGTGAGGACAGACAAGAGGGCTCTTGACATAGTCCCTTGAAAAATGTTCCGTGTGTCCATGGGACGCATCCTAAATTCCAGTTCTGTGTCTGACCGTGTGGGTTGGCGGTAGGGGAAGGGGAGTCTCTGTGCACCTCTCGGTTAAAACCAATGTCGTCCCTTCATGGCATGCTGGCTAGGTGATGGGTTAAGAAGGAGTTGATGAACTATTCCATTCTGTTATTTGTCTTCATTTTGTGGAGAGATGGTTTGGTTGCTGTTACCAATTTTTGAATCTGAGGAGTGGAAGGGAAAGGTGGGTCTTCTCCATCTGCCCTCTGCCCCCCTGCTTCCCTTTCTATACACTGTACTGTTGGTTTTAGGGCAATCCAGGGCTAGATTCAGATGTAATTTGAATCTGGATGTCATTCTTTACCGAGAAAGCATTATGAGAATGTGGTGAGAGCTGTCACCCATATTTCTGAACATTTCTCTCTTTGTTTTTTTGTTTTTCGTTTTTTTTTCTTTACCTTAGAAAGAAATCTTAGTTGAATTCACAATAGATAGGTAGGCTGGCTTCTTGCAGCAGGGAAGGGTGTCTGTTGCCTAGTCATTTAAATAAACAAATAATAGCCTGCAAAAAAAAGATCCTTAAAGATAACAACACACCATCCTGGTTTCAAGCAGTGCTTATATTTAAAACTGTTTCTCAAAATGTTGCAAAAAGGGCATAGAAAGTAGTTTCTGGAGTTACAAAGAGAGATGTGCTAGAAAAGCCAATCCTGTATTGAGTAATTTAGACACCAGCATTTCTTTGACCTTCTTCAGGTCAAGGGAAGTCCAAACCATGGGGGAAAAAAAAAGTGTCTTTTAGGTCTGACCTTATTCCTCTTCTTTGAACAGGATTCAGTTGTTGCCAGGTCATGGTGTATTTAATTCCTTTAAAGAGCCCACCACTCAGTAGCCTTTCCCCCCTGCAAGAGAGACGTGACACTTGAGGAGGAGATTTCTTTCATATGACCCCGCGCCCCAGCACATGCTGCACTGTTCCTCTGAAAGGGGACACGGGAGAGAGAAGATTATGTCCGTTTGCTATAAAGATAAATGTCACACATTGACTCAATTCTCTTTGAAGCTACTGTTGGTTGCCTCTCAGAATAAAATAAATGGTTTTTATTTTAAAGACAAAGTTTCTTGTAAACGGCCACCAAGATTCCCAGGATGCCAGACTCCTAGTTAAAAGAAATAACAAGGAGAGTTTTGGAGAGAGGGTTTCCAAAACATCTTATTTTACTGAATAAAATTTAAATATGCTTAGAAGAAAGCTGGTGTCATACTGCTGAAGGCTAAGAATAGTTCCTGGGTCAATAGAGAGAGAAACGTTCTGGGTACTGTTTTCTTTCGTATTTATGTGATGTTATTAAAATTTATTGCAAAGCCGTAGAAAGTCCAGAAAGTGAGGTAACCTCCTCCTCTACTCCCGTTAGGTCCATGGTTTTCAGAGCCATAATCTGGGAATGATCACAAGACAGGAACTTGCTTAGAAAATTCACTTTTTAATCAAGATTCAGAACTATCTGTCACTGACCTCAATTATATTTCCCCAGCGCTTTAAACTCAGACTGCCTCTAGTCTTGATAATCCAAATATCTAAAACTTCTTAGTTTTCTTGAATACTTAGCAATCGTTACAATATGCATTAGTAACATGCAAGTCAATAACAGCAGATAAAGCCAGTGATATTCATTGCCAGCATAGTTTTTTACACCTGGAAGTAGCATTTGAGAGACATGCCCATGAAATTCTATTAAAAGATATTAATTCCGTTTATATTGTTAGAAAGGAGGATAGGTCATCCTGCACAGATGTGCACTCGTGGGTTGGTAGACCTGGAGTGGAGTTGGTGATGAGGGTTTTGTATACCCAGGGTCACCTGGCATCTTGAATTCCTTTGATGTGTTTGGTAAGGTGTGTATGCAGATACTACCCGCAAACTACTTGCAAATTAGCTCGATTTTCTGCAGATTGCCACATAGGATCTAACAAGAAAAGTTTGATTTCAAGGCATGCAAAACAGTTGCATTGGTTTTAAAAATACCTACCTTGAGTTAAAGCAAGTCATTAATGAAAGCCTCCATGATATTTTCCCCCCAAGATGTGTTGTTATTGCTTTACGAATTATATGTAACAACAGCATAGAACACCAAACCAGAAGTGAATATATTGGCTCTAATCCCAACCCTGCCACTAACCAGCAGAGGGATTTTAAGCCTACACCTCAGTTCGCTTTCTCATCTATAAACTGAGCTAGTTGGGAATTATCTCCAAGATTCCTTCCTGTGTTAAGATTCCTTGCTTTTCCTTTCGTATTCTTGAACTCTGTCAACTCAAACATATTTTTTTTTTCTATATTTTGCATTAACTGTCTTGCTTCTTAAAATTCACCCTCAACTCTCCCACAAGATTATCTTTGCCTTGGGCAGATCTTGTCCGTTGTAAATAGTTTAAACACTTACCATTCTACCTTACTAATGATGTAGTCATATTGCATGCATTTTAAATATCAGCTGCTCCAAATTCATTTTGGAAATAAGTAAGATGTAAGTACATGAACATCTCTCCACACCCATTCATTTGAGACATGTATTGGCGTGCTACGTGAAAAGCATGCACTCTTGGGCTGACATTTCGTCTACTGGGACTTGCTGGAAGCTTCCTGTACCTTTTTCTTCCATTTCCAGGACTCATTTCACTTTTTGATACTTTCTTGACCCAGCCCTCTCCAATTACTCTCATTACAGTCCAACAATTTATTGACTTGTATATCATACCTAGCACTGTCTGGGTGCTGGAGACACACAGGTAAAGACCTCTAGCCTTGCCCCAACCAATCCCCGCTCCCCTCATCCTCCCTTTCTGTCTTTTCCGCCTCTCTTCATTGTTGAGCTGAATTTTACCATCAGAGTTCTGCCTAGGCTGAGCTGGACCCTACCTGCGTAGCATAGTGGACTCCCGCTCCGTTATTTTCTTCAGGCTTCTGTGACAAACCACCCTTTTGGGCCAGGCCCTGAGCTCTGTATTTATGTGGTGTCAGTTCTTTAAATTTACGTCTACTCTCCTGGTGAGTTTCCTGCTTTGGAAGGTACGACTAGAGCCTATCATCACTACTGTTATTGCAACAGCTACTAACAGTAGCTTTCATTTACTGTGTGACAGGCATTTTACACACTTATTATCTCTCTTATTCCAATCATACTGTTGTCTGTAAGGAGAACGTGTTTCTCCAAAGAGGCAAAGTAGCAACTATCCATGCTACTGGGTCTGTTAGCATTTGGTGGGATTTAGTTTTGTTTGTGGTGACATTAACCAGCTAGTGATATATTTATCCACTAACTCTTGTATCTTGGACCTGTTCCTATGTCAGCATTTGTTTATGAGACAGTGGTAAACTAGGTGAAATAATGAACATTTCGATCCTACTGCACTAAGAATGTGTGGTACAGTCTGAGGAAGTGGTCATATTTCCTTAGGCTCTAAATTTGAGTGAAATTTACAGCTGTCAGTTCCTTGAAAATAGTTTGGCATCCAAACTAGAATACATTCTTACTTCCTCCCTTAGACAGGGAGGGCATCCTACTAAAATATCAAAAAATATTTAATAAATAAAAATGCAGGTGTTACCAGGGGAGGTTAATGGCCAACTTTGAAAATCGATCATTGTATTATGGTTATTTTTATCATTTGGCTTTTGTCTTTTTCCTTTCCTCCCAGGATCAGTTAAAAATTTCAAACCGTTCTAATAGTCTAGCACTTTGACACATATCTTGTTGTCAGTTTCTCTTCATTATGACTATTCTAATTTTTTCCCCAGTCAATCCAAGGACATCCTAATTTGTACACAATTCATGTGTCTTTTGGTATTAATTAAAACTAGGGAAGCATAGCTCCAAAATAAAATAGATTTATATGAAATGCTAATATGCAGGATTTAATGTAGTGTCTCTGTAATACACACTAGGGGTGGGGGGTGTCAGAAAAAATAAGGAAGCTATTGGTCATATTAAGCAAAGTAGGGTGTCCAGGGGGCCCTGGCCATGTTCCTTTTGTCAGTTAATGTCTTTTTATTGCCTTCCTGTGATGGGTCATGAAACCTCAGGTCAGTGGAGGACATCTCCATTTTTCTCTGCTGTCCCAGACAATTCTGTAAAATTAGGCAGTTTGCGGGTTAGATACTGGGAAAATGTGGATTAGTGGCAGCCTGTTTGTGTATGTCTTTCTTACTATTTTGATGTTCTTACAACCCCAAATGGACATCATTATCATTTTTTTCCCTCTGGTTTATGACAATAATCTCACCTAGAGGCCTGGTTCAGCCTTTTCTCTCAAATCTGTTGTTCAGTGTGTAGTCTTTGTGATCAAGATACCAGAGTGGAAGAAACGACAATGAAGGACAGAAAATGAGAGGCCAAATTAGGGATAGGACTCCAGGTCAGCAGAGGCAATCAACAAAAAACAGCAGGAAAGCAAAAGGCAGGTTAAAAAAAAAAAAAAAGCAAAAAAACAAAAACAAAAACAAACAAACCAACTCTAAAAAACAAAACCAAAAACAAGCATGTTTATAGGCCTCTACAAAGTGTGCTTGTCCTAGAGTGAAAGAACCCTCAATCCCATCCCATCCCCCAATCAGAAAAGGAAATGCTTGTGACAGAAACGTCACAAACAGACTTTCCAGACTTGAGGGCATATTTTTAGCAGATTCTTTTTCAGGTTGCTTGGTTAGGGTAAACAATATTGCTTATTATACCTGTCAGAGTAAAACAGAATTTTTGGAATGCCCTAAGCATATTCCAGAACGCTTCTAGTTCCATCCATGGTAAGTGGTCTTTTGCATACAGAGACTCAGTTGACTTGATGAATAAATAATAAGATGATTTTAAAGTTTACACATGAGAATATACCCTTTTAAAATTATAAAAGTAATGTGGGCATGAAAAAAATCTAGTGTGTATAGAAGAATCTAAAATAAAAACAAAAGTTTCCCTCTCCGACCCCTTCCTTTTAATCTACAGTTCTTCAAAGGTAACTGCTTAATGGTTTCTTGGGTATGCTTCTGCACCATTTTTATACAAATAAGAGGATATCATTTTTTTGTTTGTTTCATTTACTCATCTCATTCTTTCTACTCCCTGTCTCTTTTTGCCCAAGCATTTAAAACCAAATCCCAGATCTGGTACCCATTTCCTGTATTACCTTGTATATTATCTCCACCAGAGAAGAACTTGGGGAAAAAAAAATAAATAAATAACCACAGTAACTGTTACCACATCGAACGGGATCAACAATGATTTCATGATTTTATGGAACGCCTGGGTTCTTTCAGTTATCTCAGAAGTGTCTTTTTGTAATTGCTTTGTTTGAGTCAGGATCAAAATCAGCTTCACACCTTGTATTTGTTTGATGTGTCTCTATAACCGGGTCCCTTTTCCCAGAGCCATTTCCTTGAAGAGACTGTCATCTGTCCTGTAGAATTTCCCATGTTGTTTTATTTGGCTGATTCTGTCCCCTTGGGCATGTGGGTTTACCGCGTTGTTGCTATTTTAACCGCCTGTATTTCTGGTAAACTTCTAGCTAATTAGAGGCTTGATTACATTTTTTTGTAGGAATATTTCATAGCTGGCTTATCAGAAGGTCTGCAATGTCTGTCCCTTCTCAGTGATGTTAAACTCCATGAGTGGCTTTAGGTGTTGTCAGCTTGATCCGTCCTTTATAAAGTTTCCTGTCAACCTGTCACCTCACTGTATTAGCAACCATTGATTCTCATTTTTTAGAAAACAAAAATAGAATCAGCCTAGACATATAGATTCCTATCTTGCTTTATCCACTAACTCTTGTATCTTGGACCTGTTCCTATGTCAGCATCTACAGATCTAGTTCATTTTAAAGAATGGCTTCATATATTTTATTTTATGAGTGTATTCCGATTTATTTAATCAGTTTGGAAATATTTCCGATCCCTCATCTTTCTGATGAAGAAAGGAAAGTCTGAGTCTTCAACTCTCTTTGTTTTAATTTTCTGTATCCCCTGCTTGCAGAAGCTAGTGTGGCACTGAGCTATGGAACATGGTAGACCAGAGGGGTAGTAACACAGTGTCGCCATGGAGAGCCTTTCCTGGGGGCAGGGAGAAGAGCGTTATCTTAGCTTTCCTAAAAAACGGAAACATTTGTGACTGCCCTGTTGTAGCTCTTCCCCAAGTGGGTGGTGGGGCCCAGGGCAGAGGAAGGCGATGGATCTTGTTAGTGACAACCAGAGGAATAGAAATAAGTGGGCGAAAAACCCCGACCTTAAGACCCGTTGATGGTCAGATTGGCAGTAGTGTTTGCACAAGACATAACTAAACAAGCCGACGGTGGGATCCTAAAAATTGTCTCCCCTGGAGTTCGGTTTGTGAGGTTTATGATGGCTGTTTGGTTTTCAGTGTGGTGCCGTGCATCATTGCCTGTCCCACTTGATTTGTCTTTATTTCTTGCTGTTTCTTAAGTTTAGGAATTCAGATATGGCCTCAAGTCTGGAGGTTTCCTTCAGGATAACAAAGCCCCTGAAGTCAAGCTTTTCTGGGCTGAACGAGGCCAGGCCGGGCAAAACCCCTTTGCAGATGCCTTCCTAGGTCGGGGTGTGGGGGAGGCGTGGTGGGATGGCCTTTGAAAGTAAGACTGTCACATGGCAGCATGGTCAGATTTTGAAAGATGGAACCCACATGGAAGTATCAAGATGCACGTGGTGGGTTCCTACTTGAAGAAAAGCAATGATAAAACTTCCTCGTGGATCAAGTCTTGGAATAGCCCAGGAGAAACCCCAAATCATTTTTAGTGCTTTTTCTATTAGCGATGCATGTGAATTAGTGCTGGCTGCAGTATACCTTTTTGTTTTCCTCAATTTTTCTCTCTTTCTCCCTCTTCCAAGCCTCAGAAGAGGAAAGCGGAAAGCCTTTCCAGTGTCCGATATGTGGTTTGGTTATCAAAAGGAAGAGTTACTGGAAGCGGCACATGGTGATCCACACAGGTTTAAAAAGTCATCAGTGTCCACTCTGTCCATTCCGGTGTGCTCGCAAGGACAATCTCAAATCCCACATGAAGGTAAGCCACCTGCGGACGGGCCTCACGGAGAGACAGGCACAGCCCGAGCTCTTGTACACGGTCCAGTGCAGGAGGCCTCTAGGCAGGAGAGGGGCCGTCGTTGGAGCTTACAGAATGCAGTGCTCATTGTCCCCATGTCAGACTGAAGAAGCAGGTGGCAAAGCTTTTCCTTTGTAATGCTATTCCCTTCCTTTTTAACTGCAAAAAGCAGCTTCTCTATCCAAAGAGTAGACATAAAGTAGGGCCCTTTCCTATTGGGGAGCAGCAGCCTACCTTGGCCTTGTATGGCAATGCATGCTTAGGGCGCTGGGAGGAAGACTTGGGGACGAGCAAGGAGCAGGAAAGACCAGTACAGGCCAGCCTGTTGGACCCATGCCCCGGAGAGGGGTCTGCCTTCTTCTGCTGTCGCTTTATTCTCCAGCTTACAGACCCACAGGAGGGGCTCCTTGTAGGAGGGGTGAGGGCCTTGAAAGACACCTGGGCTCTAGCTTTCACCCTTTGTGAGGCTTGGGGGGCTATTCCTGGCAAGACTGGGTCTTCCCAAGGGCTGTCCGTGTGTGTGCTGTCCTAATTCCCAGAATCATACTTACCAAACATCTAAGGACGTTGGTTTCAGTGTCTTGTTAAAAACAACTGCATTTCCCTCTTATGTGAGATGGAGAAAACTTAGTCACCTCGAAGTCTTTCTGGCAGACCCCATTACTAATACAGGTTTTCTCTGAAATTCAAAGAAGAAAATCACGAGATCAAAAGAGCATGGGCTCTTGAATTTGATAGACCTGCATTTAAATCTTATTGTGCAGCTTAGTAGCTAAGTGGCCTTGAGCAAATGAACTTTAGGCTCTCAATTTTCTCATCTGTTCAACAAGAACGATAATGTTTGTCTGGAAGAGTTGTCACGAGTATTTAAGGGGATAATGTTAGCAAAGTATCTGACATAGGAAATGTTCAATAGTAGTTATTTTATTTTGATAACTGTTTTTGAACACCTTTATTTTCCCACTGATATTTTCAGTAAGGCTTGGCTGTCGACATTGTTTATAACGTTTTTACTTTCCTGCCATAAGAAGCGTAGTGTATGTACGTACTTAAGATATTTCCTTTTTTCCCCAAAACCTTGTAGCCTAATCCATCTCACTAGATCAGTGATCACTGTTTAGAATTGTAGCTCTAAAAAAGTGATATCAGACAGAACCTCTCCTGATTTTAGGAGCTAGCTTAGAAGATTAAAAAGAAAAATTAAATCCATGGTGTAATTGGTATTCTGTCATTTGTCCTTTTCTCCCGGGAGTAGCTTGCCCTTCGTCTTCAGAATCCATTGAACCAGGAGTTCTGGTCGGTTGGATTTTACTGAGCCTGCTTAGTTTTTCCATTCCCCTCCTCATCCTCTAATGCCTCTTCCCAAAGCAAAATCTCATCTTTTACACCTGCAAAGTGGATTTCATTAGCAGGATAAGACTTCAAAAGGGAACGCCTTTAAAACTAAAATTTGTTTTCGTTACTGTGTCCTACACTGTGTTTAGAAATCAGGTCTGGCAAATTTAAAGCTTCAGTGAGCAGAAAACTTGCATCTAGCCTGACACCTTGTAAGCTTGGTTTCAGCTCAGGGTCACATAAAACAACCTATTTATAAACCCATGGAAAAAAAGCCGGGTTTTCAATAGCAGGAACTACTGACCCTGAAACTACAGGGAGATGAGTTGGGTGCCTTGATGATACAGATGGTCGGCCATGACAGTGTTACAGATGAGAGCTGCAAGGGCTTTGCGGGTCGCGGGGTCTCAGAATGCTTTCAGAACAAATCAATAACCAGTACAATAAAGCAGTTGTGTGAAATTACTACTTTATTCAAACTCATGGTGTCCTAACCTGTTGAGCTACGACTGGAGCTTTTGATAAGGGAAGTGTGAGAAGGGCTCATGCAAGTTTAATTTTATCAAATGGTGTACTCTTTCTTTTCTCTATTCTGCACCTCACTGATGGGCCATTTTCTTTCTTTCATCAAAGAATTCACGCTTTTGTTTTGATTTGATGTACTTTAATTTTGAGACATTTCGTAAACAGAGTCTATATAGAAGCATAGTGGCGGTGGTCTTGGGAATAGGTACTCCTGCTGCATTCACCAGACTGAAAATATGAATGGATTTTCTACAATGGTTCCAGCCTGTGAAGTGGGGGCCGTGTCGCCTGTAGATTAGGATCTCCCACTGCGTGCGGTCAGAAAGACCTCAGTCACAATCTCAGTTCCACGACTTTTAGTAGCTGTAAGACTTTGGGCGAATCATTTAACCTCTCCCAGCCTTCGTTTCCACTCCTGGAGATAATCATCCGATCTATCGCCTGGAGTCTGGAGTCATTAGAAGGGTTAAATGAGATAATGGACATAAAGCAACTGAATACAGTGCCCGGCATGGAGCATACTCAGGAAATGTAGCTAACCCGGTCATTATCATCCAAGAGTTCTCAGAGTTAGCATTTACAATTGGAAATAAAGTAATGCCGTGGGATAAAAAATTAGTCTAAATTTTATCGCCTTTTTCTTTTTGTGATGAATCTTTAATGGTGACAATTTAGGAATACTGGTAAATGGCAAGAATATAAAATTGACCCTCGATCCTGTCACACAGAAATAACCATTGTTGCCATTCTAACGTGTGTCCTTCCGGATTGACGCTATGGACTTAGTTAGGACAAACTGGGATTCGACTTCATTTGTTCAATAAGGGCAGTATTTACAGTGTTCCCACTCGGTGCTGGGCACTGTACTTTTTTTTAAAACCTGCCTTTCCTCCTCCGTATATCTTGCCAACGTTTTTATGGGCAGCTGAGGAAGGAGCTTGTAAATGCCTCCAGCTTCCTCATGGTTATCTTAGATTTCCATTAAGCCTTTTACAACTTCCCTGGATGAGTGAGCCTATAGGAATTAAATACGAAATTCATAAGCCGAGATTGAACAGAAGAGGTGAGGACTGCTAGAATAAAGCACAGTGGTAGAGTAATGGCAAGAAACCGGGCAAAGGTCGGAGCGCGGAGTCCTGCCATTTAAGGAGCTATGACTCCTGAGGAAGCCCCTTCCCTGCCCTGCGCTGTCTCGTGGAGGGGGTGGGGAGCAGGTGTGTGCCAGAGCTTCCTCATGTTCCTCCCATTGCCACCGGGAGATGGACAGCACGAGGTAACAACGCCTTTTATCCCAGCCCCCACCTGGCCCCCGTAGGTGCTCTCGGTGCAAGGTGACTGGTCCTTCAGCCTGTCTCTATGTGGCCTGGAAAGAATGATACGCTTTAGACAAAACGTTTCTTCACATTAGCGGACTTAGAGGGATTTAAAAGCCAACGTTAGGCTACAGAGATTAGAAGTCATCACAGAAAGTTTCTGTCAGGACAGAAGGGAAGAAACAGCCGCAAGAGCATAGAGAGAATACTTCTCTCAAAGGCCCAGTGCGACATCTCGCCCCTTTGGGAAGGGGCAGCTCCAATAAAATGACAAGTGTGAGAGTCACCACCACGGCCCCGGTTCCTCCTTTAAACCGACACTGATTTTTCCACAACTAAATACAGCACAGCCAGGATCTGGTGGAAAAGAAGACATGTAAAAATAGTGGCGCACAGACTCTTCTCAGTCCAGGGCTCCCTTTCGTCTTTAGAACTTGGGCTCGCTCTCTGTCCTTTTCCTTCTTCCAGAAGCTGCTTCCGGAGCTTCTGTTCTTGGATTAGCTCCTCTCCTCTCCCGGGTCAATGGATGTAAGGACACTTCTGAAACGGAATCTGGCCCACCACCCGGCTCCCGGGACAGCGGGTTCAGGGAGTGCTCCAGGCAACACCTGTCGGGGTCCTGTGGGGCTGCGACCTGAGCCCCCAAGGTGCCCGGCTGCTGCGGGAGTTGGGTGGAGGAGATGGGGAATCTTCATGATTCTGTGAGGAAGCAAAATGAAATGATCAGCTCCACCGTGAAATCCCTTTGTTGTGAAAGAACAGAGAGAGGTGATCTTAACAGCCAGTGACAAACGCATCCCTAACCCCCAGGCCCTCCTGACCTGGCAGAGGGGGAAGCCTTTTAATGAGCAAGGCCTTGCTGCAACTGAGTTGAAGTTTATGTGTTTATTTCTGAGAAATGCATGCATTGGGGGATCCAGAATCTCTTTTCAGCTGTTTTTTTCAAAAAGCCACAGTGGGGTGCTGTGGCGACAGGATCTCACCATTAACTTTTAATTTCTTTGCTTTTGTTGGTCACTTAACATTATTTAAAAGTATCTTTTGGCTGGTGAATAATGCTTTTGGATTGCATTCAGAATGCATAAACAGCTGTAGTAAAACTTGCTCTCTTGGAAAGGAAGCCTACGCAGAGGGGCCAGGTGGTGCAGTGAACCAACGAACTAGCCTTTAACCTTCGTTAGACCTGGGTTCAAGTCCTGCTGAGGTCACCACTGGAACATGTCGGTTCTGTTTTGGTTTTGAATCCCAGTCACTTGCCTGTCCAGATCCCACAACTCCCTGAATCATTTGGCCCAAATCTACACAATTGGCAGTTTCTACGCAAGGGAGGGGCGGTTCTGAAATAGCAGGGTGAGAGGTCAGCGCCGAAGCACATTGGCAGAGCTCAATGGGGAAGTTACGAGCTGACGAGCACCTGCCAGCTTGAAGCCTGGCTCAGTCCGGTGCAATGATTTCCTCACTTTTTCAAGCACTACATTCGGTAGGGACAGGAGGAAAAAAGCTTCTTCCAATTTTTTACAGGTATTGTGCGTGCCGGGCTGGAACTGGATTTAGAAGTCTGCATTCTTTCACCGCAGACATCAGAATTGGGAGCCCGATAAAACCACATTGGGAAACATTGGTTTCCTCTTGCTGAGTATACCGGGTGGGGATCAGACCTTGGTTTTTCTCCCACTCTGATTTGCTTACCTCTCATGTGATTTTGCTCACGCCACTTACTCTGGAGTCTCTGTCTCCCTGTCTGTGAAATGGGAATACCCCAGAGACATCATTTTCCACATTCTTAATTACCTAGAGAAGCATTCTGAAAATTGAAATTACGTTTGCAAAACAGAGGTAATTCTCTGAGTGACAATAATTGGGTACGTGTACCTTATTGTTATTGTGAGAGGAATTACTTGACAGGTTGCCTCTTTTGACCCCCCGACTGATAATTATGTTAGTTCACACTGTGCTAGGTTTATATTGTCTCTGAAGACCCACCGAGATGAGATGACTAGAATATTAGGAGGATTCTCCTGAAAACAGCCTCCATGGCAGACAGCACCCCCCATTGTGAGTGTGGCTCTAATCATGGGCTCTTAACCTGTGTGGACCCGTGTTATGTGTAGGGACGGACCTCATCACGTGGGGCACGCTAATGAAATGCTCCTCTGGTGATTTCTGTTTCCTGGGCCAACCCTTGGTACTGTGAGGAAATGGTTGATGAGTAGTCTGGATGTACTACAAGGCATTTTCCGTAAGCACATGGTGGAGAGCTCATTCTTCTTGCTTCTTCGTCAGGTTCATCAGCACCAGGACCGGGGAGAGACCTTTCAGTGCCAGCTATGCCCTTTCACTTCCTCACGCCACTTCAGCCTGAAACTCCACATGCGTTGCCATCAGCATTTCCTGAGGACAGAAGCCAAGGTGAAGGAGGAGATCCCAGACCCAGATGTCAAGGGATCTCCCCACCTCAGTGACAGTGCCTGCCTGGGGCAGCAAAGGGAAGGAGGAGGGACAGAGCTAGTGGGGACCATGATGACGTCCAACACTCCAGAGAGGACTAGCCAGGGTGGGGCTGGCGTCTCGCCTTTGCTGGTGAAGGAGGAACCCAAGGAAGATAACGGCCTGCCAACCTCCTTTACTCTGAATGCTGCCGACAGGCCGGCCAACCACACAAAGCTGAAAGACCCCTCCGAGTATGTGGCCAACAGTGCGTCAGCATTGTTCAGCCAGGACATCTCTGTTAAGATGGCGTCTGATTTTCTCATGAAGCTGTCAGGTACTTGAATAGGGTTGTATTCTCTCTCTCTCACTCTCTCTCTCTTTCTCTGCCAGGATTCTCATCTGTAAAATGAGCTGGTAGTACTAGATGATTTCAAGGTCCCTTTAAATTCTAATCGTTTACACTCTCATAAATTTTCTCCTCGACCTTTTTTTCCCCCTTCCCAGTCCTTTGGAAGTAGTCATTGCTGTGGTTTGGGTCTAGAAACAACAGGGCTTGTTGATTTCCTTCCGGTTTTTCCCCTTTATGGGTTCTTGTTGTGGGGAACAGGTCACATGGTGAGCCATGTTGGTGATAGTTCTTTGTGTGACCTTGGGCCATATTTAACTTGTCTCTGCGTTTGGTTCTTTTAAAGTGCTCGTATGGAACGTCTCATTTTGCATTATTCAAGTTCTTTATTGCCTTAATTTGTAAGAGTTTTAAAGGACATATATACAGAGACTCCTGTTAGGAATTATATTTTTAAAATTTGTGCAAATGATAAAGATTATCTTCACATTATTTTTTCCACTGGAAAAAAATTTTATTGCAATAGAATGTACCTAACATGAAATTTACCATTCTAACCATTTTTAAGTATACAGTTCTTTGGCATTAACTTCATTTCTGCTGTGTAGCCATTGCCACCATCCATCTCCAGAAATTTTTCATCATCTCAAACTGAAACCTCATACCCATTAAACAACAATTCCCCATTCTGCCCTCCCCACAGCCCCTGGTAACCACTAGTCTACTTTCTGCCTCCCTGAATTTAACTATCTTAGGTGCCTCATGTAAAGTGAAATTAAAAAAAAAAAAAGCAAACAACTTTTTAAAAAATATTCTTTCCCAACTACCCCACTGCCTTTTGGAAAGAAGATGAAATACGTTATAAAAATTCATCGTTAATCGACATCACGTTTATCATCAGATTACACATGGCGTTTCTTTTTGTTTTTGTCCTTCATTTTTTCCCCAATTTCTTTGATTAAGTTGCGGAGTTGAATAGGGGGTGTGGCGATATTGAGGGAGCGCTGCTTTTCCTGACTGTTTGGGAATGATAAAACATGACATGAGATTGTGCTGCTACTTGTTACATTTTTAAAAGTATGATTTAAAATTGTAAAAGAGATGTGGAGGGTGGGAAAAGGTCGGCTGAGAGTTGGTTCTGTCTTTCAGTGAAGATGGCAGTCCCCACTATGTTTTCCAAATGCCATTTCAGCTCTTTGGAGATTGACAATACCCTTTTAAATGGAGAATAATTGGTCACCGCCTTCCTTTAAATGGACTGTGAATCACATTTCACTAAATGTCATTGCCAGGTGAATTAGAGGTTCGGCTTCACTCGCTTGGAAGTCCCTTTGCTCAGTGACACTTCAGTCAGGTCTCTCGGAATGTCCCCAGCACCCAGATCTTTGCCCCTCAGGTGTGCAAAACACTAGTTGGAAGAAATGAGGAAATGGAGGGGACAAGAAGTGAGGCGTCAGAAATGACCTGGGGAGTCAACGAGGGCAGGGAATGTTATAACCAGGCGCTCCAACCCACTAGCCCACAGCGTGAGTGCAGAGTCCTCCGCTGGAAATGGTCAGGCCACAGAAAACCAAGTGTATCTGCCTGTGGCCTTGAAGAACATGGAGGGGGGGGTGTTGCGCGGGGAGGGGGGCGGTTTGGCTCTCTCCTCTCCTCCTCTCTTCCCCTCTGCCTGCCTTTTCCCACCCTGGTCTAGGGGAAAATGTACTTGTAGAGTCTTTGAGTTTTATATTTAAACTTTTTTAAAATGTGGGGAAATGCATGCTTCTAGTTTTCCTTTTGCTGCTGGTCCTTTAGGCTTCACCTCTGTTGGGGGTGGGGGGGGCGGCGGCAGGGAGGGAACGTGCAGGGTGTGCATCTCTGGTTTTTCCCGGATGGTCTCGCCCACCAATATTATAGCAAAGAGGGCTCCTTTCCTGGGCTCTTCTAGTGCACTCCCAAGGGAAGGAACGCAAATGGCCCGGCGTATTCATAGATGGGGAGTGGGGGGAGACTAAGGACAGGGGTGAGTACCTCTTAGTATTGGGTTACTGCCTTTACTCCAGAACTGCAAGAAGTTTTTAGATCTGGAGGAAGGGGAGAGGGGGACGAAGGAAGGATTGGTCTTCAGATAGGATGCTTGGTTATGGTACACTACTCCTGCTGGGCTCAGGCTGTAATTAGCTCGGACCCAATCTCAGGGAGCCTGAGATAATGCGTGCTGAGAGCCAGCACTGCAAACGGAAGAGACTCAAGAGAAGCCAGCCCGGTAGGTTGGGGTGAAAGACTGCACCAAAGCCTTCCACTGTGATGTGTTTTCTCAGTTAGTTATTGATGGGACTTGTTTACAGTTTGGCAGTGGGAGTATTTACTGACTTATCAATTGGTATAAGAAAACAGATAACAAATGCACACTCTTTATGCAAAAGACCCATGCAGCTATTTTCTGGTGGCTTACTAGAGGTCCTGAAACCTGACTTGTATGCACTGTTACCTAGCAACCTGTTACAAAGTCACCGGGGAGGGAGATGCATTGGTAATTTTTTGTGTGTGTGCATATTTGGATGTAAATGTAAACTTGGTGACTGTGGCCCTGCGCAGCCCACAGGAGGAAAAGAAATGTTCAAAGGAAAGGAATACATTTTCTGGAGGGATTTTTTTTTTTCTTTAATTTCCACTAACTCTCTGGTTGATCGGGCCTTATCTTTGATAACTGCCATCACTGTGCTTTACCTGGCTGTGTCTGTGAATAGGATCCTGGGACCCAAAGGCCAGATCCCAGGGAGCTGTGGCTGAGTTTCTAGCTCTTGCCGTCATCAGAAGTAGCGGGGTATGTGCTTAGTATCTGGCTTGGTCCCTGGGCGTCATAACGGCGCCATTGTTCTGGCAGAGAATTTTTGAGCTGGGCTCTGTGCGTGCACCTGCTGGGACTGTAGGGTGCAGCTGTTTGTAGGCACCAAGTCTGCGAGTCTCTGTGCCAGCCCCATGACTTCAGAATTGGAGCACAGTGACAGATTCAAGCGTGCACATACCTACTTGTTTCCCAAAGAGAGACGGAAAACACTTGATTCTTTCTTGCTTGGTTATTAAGGGAAGTCTTTCTTGCTCCTTTGACGAAAACTAAGCATCCAGATGACTTAATGGAACCCAGTGGGATTAAAAAATCACTGGTAGAATGCTGTTTTCAACAGACTCTAAGTCCTTCTCTCACCCACCCCCCCCTCCACGTTAAGGTTTTTCCCAGCCTATGTGATTGTGAAATCAAACCCCTTCTTTGATCTATCAACTATTCCTCTGCTGAGCCCACACTTAACATTCCGTAGTCCTTCAAGATTAATGTTGCTCCCCTAGAACCGAGGCTCCCAGGCAGCTCCGTAATTGATTCTGGGAAGAGGATGGGAAAGCCCTGGCTCCTGGCTTTCTGGGCTGATGGAAAAAATAATTTTGTAAACTTTGCCCAGGGTTTCAGCCTCAGAGGCACTCTGTGGAGGGCTGTAGCCTTACGTATTTGCACAGATCTTTCTTGGGAGCCTGAAGACCCAGGTGGATGGTGGAATGTCAGAGCAGGTGATCCAGTGGTCCCGTGACTGGGGCGTGCAGGGGAGAGGCACTCACTCAACCGTGCACCTGAGTTCCTGCTGCTCTGAGCCTCCCCTCTCCCTTAACTAGCAGCGAGTGTAAATTCAGCCGCACCGTATACTTACCTGGGGAGCTTCTTAAAATGCCAGGGCCCAGTCCACTCTCAAAGTTAGGATTTCATAGGTCTGGGCAAGGGCCTAGTCATTGGCGCTTTTGTTTTTTTGTTTTAATCCTCAAATGAGTCTCATGTGCACCTGCGGGCTGCTGGTGTGGCATATGCACGTGGTACCTGATACAGTTTTTTCCGTTTTTGTGGTGTTTTTTGTTTTTGTTTTTGTCTTTTTTTTTTTTTTTTCAGTACTGCTCTCCTTCCTTCCTTTCTATTTCAGACCCTGGAAAGGGGCCTAGTGGGTGGTATGAGATGAGTCTGAGGCATTCACCATAGGTCAAGGTTGACACGAACAAGAGGCCTGGGTGAGTCATGGCCCCTGAGCCCCTTGTTTTTCCTTGTGGGGCCTCATGGCAGGAGAAGTAGAAGAAGCATCTTGGTGTGTTCTCCAGTTAGAACCAGAAAGTCTCAAGACTGATCGAGAGCATCAAGGACCTGGGAGTATCATCATTACATGCCTGATTAAAAGTTGCTTGCAGCAGCCTTTACATCATTTCTCTTCCTCAGAGCTACCCTTTTCAAGATAGGAAATTTAATTCTAACTCTCCACATTGTAACCAAGCAGTTGACAGAAACTTGGCACCTCAGTTGTAGGCTGGGAATATCTTTTTGTCCCTGGTTTTCCAAAATAAAAGATACAAGTCATTTCAACTATTTTTAATTTGGAAACTGGCAAAAAAAAAAAAAAAATCATACTGTCTCCCACATTATATTAATTTTGTAAAATGGAGTCCAAAATAATTTTAACTAGGAGAGATGGCATTTTTAAAGCCGTGACTTACAAATGGGTACAGGCCGAACTGTTTCTGATTTATTGGGAGGAGCTCTGCTGTAACATAGCAGAGGCTTTCTTGGACAAAGGTGAGTTGCGGACCGTGTTTGCATACTATCTTGCAGTTTCCTCTGGGCCTTTGTTCTGCTTCCACCTATTTCACACAATTTTCTGCATCTGCAGTGATAATACAGTTAGTCTGTAAACGGCAGCCGCCCTATCCGACGAAGGCTTTGTTGGGGTGCTGGAGAAGGAGGGATAGGATGCGCGGTAAACCAGGTAGTCCTTATTGCCTGGGAGCTCTGGTCGGCTTTCTGTATTACATCTTTCCAAATGAGCCTTCTTGTAAGTCAGTACCAGCCTTGCGCCAGTCGTGTCCCGAGAGTTCTGTGCCAGTAGCCAGGGGCTCCCACTTCCGTTCCCTAAATGTGTCTTCCCCAGTGGTTTGACTTTTAACAACCTTCCTTTATCCCTTGGTTGGCCCTTCTG